ATATATAAGCAAGAAGAAATACTGAAAAAAATAAGACAATATAATAAAAGTGAATAAATCATGGATTGAAAAATGTCCTGGAGAATATACCCTTCTAACAGGCTACTAATTAGTTGTAAATAGTTAGGTATATTTTATATAACATTTAAAATGCTAACAATTACCACTAAATTAAAAATGAATATCAAGAATCATGTTTAACATAATAGAGATCACTGAATAAGTTCAATAAAATCATAGGTTACAATAAATTCAATCCACATTACTAAGAGTCTAAATGTCCCTTCTGAAATTGGAATATATAGATAGACACAAATTTGAGGTATCGTGAAAATTCATGTATTATATTAATAGTCTAAAAATGGCTTCCAGTTTACAGTAAGTTGAAATTTATGTCAGGTTTACTTTTAAGGTACGAAGGTATTCTGAACATTGAAGCATACCCCCACAACTTGTTAGTCATTCTCCCATTGAAGGCCTGGATACATCTCAGTAAGAGATAGATAGATAGATAGATAGATAAATAGATAGATAGATAGATAGATAGATAGATAGATAGATAGATAGATAACCTTTATTGTCATTTTTTTACTGTGGGCACAACAGTATGGTATATGGTACCCTTGCAGTAGTTATCACATCTAAGACTAATTCAGGATCTCATGAAGATTTGGTAAGGTTCAATAAGAATGTTATAGGTGGAAGGGGAAATTCAGCTTGTAAAATTTATCTCATTTTAACATGGATTGTTTTCTAATAATTGCTACCAAAAAGAAGTAATCCAACTTGCTCAATAAAATGTCAGCAATTTACTTTGAATTTTAGATTGAAAGAAAATTGGAATAAGATGTTTTGATTGCTAAAATAACTGTTTTTAAAAAACTGCTGGAAATGCAAAGCCACTAATAATTAAAGATTCTGAGAACGCGTAACCACTAGATAGTCCATTACTCTACAACATTTTCCAAACCCCTTTTAGAATCAACTACGTTTATGGGTGCTATCACATTTCCTAGCACCAAAGCCCAAACTATATCTGTCATGTAAGCAAATGCTTTTACTCTTTCTGAAAATCTCTAATTTCTAAAGGTTAATTTTTAGAAAAATTCAAAATGGATTTAATTCATTTATATATATTTTTTAACTTTACAATAATTTTGCAATGGTTTATCAAACAATTTAAAATTTTTAAATTCTGTATTAAGCTTTGAATGTAATAAATATTTTAATACTTAATAAACTGATGCTTTAAAGCAGACCTTTGAGGGATTTTGAAAAAAGAAAACAGATTTCTCTAGCTTTATCAACCGTATTCAATCTATAACGTGTCCCCGCATGGCTCAAAACAATACCCATCGGGATTTCCCATCTAAATGGCATCGATCTAGCTTTAAGCTCATTAGCTAAGAAAGCAAAATCTTTCCTGATTTATTATTAAAATAAATCATTTTAAAATAGTGAATATTAAAATTATTTTAGGTCTGAATATGGAGCGTTATTAGTGAAATATCAAAATGTAATAGTTTTGCTTACAGGATTGACTGTAATGTCTATAATGGAAAAGATCATATATTTTTAAAATAAAATCTGATGAGTTTTTTTTAAAAAAAATAACTGAAATTAGGATAATTTTCCAGTGACCACTAGAAATCTACATTAAGCAGGAAAAATAAAGAAATAATTATGTATTCTCATTACTATCCAATATTGATTTTTAGTGTGAGCTGCAGAGCATTAGAGGAAGGATGCAAACTGGAAATTGATAAGCTTTTATCTTAGTTCCTTTTCTTTAGAAAACACTTATTTTAGAAAGAGGAAAAGATACTAGCATTGTAGCAGCAACTAATCTACTCTCTTCCCACAATCTCAATGCAAAGTTTTTTTTATATACATTTTTATTGCTTTTAAAAATAGTAACAGAAAAAGAAAAAACAAAAGATACAAAACACAAAATTATTTATACTGTATATTTTGGGTGTTTTTATATTTTATTTTGCCACTTATTTTTTAAATTTATGCATTTTTTTCATTGCAACCTTAATGCAAAGTTTTTACTCTGTTAGATAAAGCACACACTGACAGGCCTATTACATTAAAGGAATAAAAAAAGAGTAAAGAAATTTAGATAATGGTTTCTGGACTTTCCCCCCACATTTTGGAAATGTTTTATAATCCTTAGCTTCTCACTTTGATCTAGATCAGTGCTTCTCAACGTTTGTGTGACGGCGACCCCCGTCACACAAACGTGCCGCGCATGCGTGGTGCCCCCCCATGCGCAGCGCCCCCCCATGCACGGTGCCCCCCCATGCACGGTGCCTCCCCATGCACGGCGCGCATGCGCGGTGGCGCCCCCGAGGGGGAAAAATGGCGGATCGCCTTGTTTGGCGACCCCCGAGAAATGGTCGATCGACCCAAATGGGGTTGCGACCCATAAGTTGAGAACCGCTGATCTAGATGCTCAGCGCAGCATAGTTTGAAAAGATGAACTATCTTTTTTTTTATTCAGATTGTAATAGCTATAGATATGGTTACAAATGTAACTATTTGTCTCTTTTAACAAGCTAGACCAGGGGTAGGCAACCTCGGTTCTTTTCTGACTCGTGGACTTCAACTCCCAGAATTCCTGAGCCAGTCACACTGAGGGGAAAGGGAGAGGTTTCCAAGCTGAGCCATGCTGGCTCAGGAATTCTGGGAGTTGAAGTCCACGAGTCATAGAAGAGCCACGGTTGCCTAACCCTGAGCTAGACAGACAGACAGACAGACGAAAGAGAGAGAGACAGAGAGACAGAGAGACAGAGAGAACAATGACTAAATTTAGGTTAATTATCCAGTAGTTTTTATGCATTGTTTATAACAATCAGAATAGATGCATCACAGCTGCCTGATTATCTCCATAGGAAACCATTTGGTAGTGCAAAGAAAAAATTAAATATTAGTCTGAATCTTGAAAAATGAGCTAAGAATTGCAAGAATTGTGGAGCTGGTTAAATTTGTGGTTTTAAAAGTTTGAGCAATAAAGGACATAGACTTGCCTACCAATACAGGTAGTCCTTGACTTCATTTAGTGACTGTTTGAAGTTACAATGGCACTGAAAAAAAGTGATTTATGACCATTTTTCACACCTATGACCATTGCAGCAACTCCATGGTCACGTGATCAAAATTTGGCTGCTTGGCAACTGGCATGTATTTATGACAGTTGTCCCCAGGGGTCACATGGTCGCCTTGTGTAACCCTCTGACAAGCAAAGTCAATGGGGAAGCCAGATTCGCTCAACAGCCGCGTTACATCACAAAATAAGGCAAAATTCACTTAACAAATGTCTCACTTTGCAACAGAAATTTTGGGCTGAATTGTGGTCATAAGAGGGAGACTACCTGTAGTTGCTTTTTCCTACTAGAGCTATTCTGCCACATTTTGGCACATTTTATTAAGCATGTAACACTCATTTCTTTCAATGGTGCTCCTACAAGTCAGCCAATATACTGTGGGCCCTCAGAAGCTTTTGGGCTACAATTCTCCTCCATGCTGATTAGGTTAGATTATGATTTGTAGTCCAATGTCTGTGGTACAAATATTATAATCTCCCTAAACAGTTTTTTTTTTCGGATTACTCATCATTACAAAGAATTTGGGGTAGTTGGGGTTTTTTTAACAAAATACTCCTGTAATAAAATTCCTCCAATTTAAAGCTGTTTCATTTTATACAGCCCAGACTAATATTACATATTTTTAAAAATGAGAGATATTGATGACAGTAATACTTCACAACACTAAAAGAGAGCTTCAGAATCAGCAAGTTCAAAGAAGAATAAACTATATAAATAACTATAGAGTTTTTTGATTAAAAATATAGAAGGTTTGGTCATAGAGTAGCATATCCATACTAGGTATTCCTTGCAGGCAATACTCTATGGCCATATTGTTTTAATAACCTAGTGTAGAGTTAAACAATCTTATACAAGATTATGACAAAAGATGCCAATATGGCTAAATTCAAATGCTTCTGTGTATGCATTTCTTCATTTGCTGGCTAGGATTAAAATTGAACATTTGTGCATCACTATTGAGCTGTAATCCTTGCTTTAAAATGATTGTATATAGTAAAATGAAAGCTAATTTAGGTTATGCCTAAATTAATATTATTCTATGACATAGAAATACAATTGAATACAGAGAGGCTTTCTTCTGAATATAGAGTTATAGATTTATGTAAATAATGAAAAATTATTCAGAATTCATATCAATATCAGCCAACACTCAAATTTTTGACAAAACAACAAAGTTTATTAGTCAAACTTTTTAAAAGTATGATTATATGGAACAGAAACATAAATGCCTATAAATATAGGCACTTGTATGAAAACATGCAATGTTAGAAGCTGTTATGATATTATGATTCTTAACATATTCTTCTATGAAAGGGCAAAAATAATATGAAACAAAATAATCATAAAATGCTGATTTCCCATATTTCCTTGATTAAAATTAATTTAAGGAAAATGATTATCTGGATCATTAAGACATACCTTGGCTTATAAATAAAAAAGGTATCTTTAAAGATTACTTGCTGTAAACACACTAGAGATTAATTTTTTGTTTGTTTAAAATAATAACTGCTTCTTTCAATCTGAATAAATTCAGACACATTTGCCAAGGCATGTAAGACAAAATTCCTGAACCTGTCTACTAAATATTCTGAACATTTTGAAAGATGCTGAGCTACATAAAGTTCCCTTTTGCAAAGCTTCTTTTTGCCTTTCAAAATCTATGTATATGAATGATGTCTCCTCACATCCTCCCCCCCTTCCTTTCAAAAAAAAATCTCTTTTTTTTAAACAAACCCTGTTTCTAATGCTTGAACAGAACTACACATATATTGCACATTTATTTCCTTAGATGAAAATTGGAAACATTCAGTGAGCATCATTTAGTGTTCCATATAGAACGGAGATTTGCAAAATGGTTAAATTTAAAGCAACAACAACATAGAAACTTACCTGAGGGAAATAAGTCTGATCTATACCATTCAGTTTTTGTCTGTCATAGTAGTAGAGAGATTTGGGTAAGGGAGAGGAAGAGGGAGAGGGAGAGAGAGAGAGAAATAGTGAGGATGAGATAGAGTCGTTTGCTATGACAGATAGCTGGCTGATTTTCTTCTATCCAGCTGAAACTCAATTCCCTTTCCCTCTTTTATGGCCGATCAGCAACTGTTCTGGGGGGCTTTTTGCATCACTTATGGGGCTCATGGGCTTACCTTCTGCCTTCCTATAGATGCTGGGATTGTGGTTAATGCTAGCGCTAGGGAGTGACAAGCTCCCTCCAGTCACACTCCTTCTTCCTCTCGCGGTGAACCAGCTGTAGCTTTAGCTGCTGCTTCAGCTGCTATTAGTACCTCAATGGCGACAGCAGATCTCATCTAAGCTTTTAACTGCCACCTACTGAATAAATAAGGGATGCACATCTTTTACAAGGAGCTGCATTTTCCCTTTATATATTTATTTAGTGGCTGATTTCTGGTCGCTCCTTTCTGCCTTGGAGGGAATCTTCCAGAGCTCAGAAATATTATTCCATAAACTGCTACAATTGTGCCTGAAAAGTAGCTTTCTTCTTCCAGCCTCAAAACTCAACTAGAAGAAACCAGGATCTAGCACAACAGAATGTCAGCATCACAAAACCTATAAAGTTGGCCAAGTTCAGCATAGGGTGTACACTTATGGCAATTTCCAGATGGAGCTGCAGATCCAGTCACAGACTAAGTTCATCTTCTGGCAATTTTAGGATACTCTTCGTGGGAAAATTCTATTGTTCTAAATCCTGATTTTTTTTTCCAGTTGAGCTGTGAAATGTTTGTTCAATAGCAGCTACCCATTTACAAGCAGAGAAAGTGATTTGTTTCATTATAATGGATTGTGTGGGATGTATGAGGCAGTCACTAGAGCAGGGGTAGGCAACCTTGGCTCTTTTATGACTCGTGGACTTCAACTCCCAGAATTCCTGAGCCAGCCAAGCTGGCTCAGGAATTCTGGGAGTTGAAGTCCACGAGTCATAAAAGAGCCAAGGCTGCCTACCCCTACACTAGAGAAACATTTCTCAATGTAGCAACTTGAAGACATCTGGACTTCAACTCCCAGAATTCCCCAACCACTACTGCTAATAATGCATAATTGGATTGAAGAAGGAGTTAGAATAATATAGTAAAAGCAGATCAGAACCATCACAATTATCACAAGACTTCTGAGTATTCTTTTTTATGGAAGAAAAAGGGTGTTTTTTTTTTCTCAGAGTGAACTGAGATGGGCAGGACAAGACATTTTTGTTACTAAGTAGATAAGGATTGATTGTTTGATTGAGATCTCTCAACATGCATCTCTCAGGAACTTTTTATTGGTTAGTTCTTTACCAGCATTACAGAATCTCAAATATATCCCTCTAATGTCCTGATATCCAAAAAGAGTCAAAAGAGCCTGATTTCACCTTGTGGGCTATAGAAAGGTTGCCAGAAAATGTCCTGTGGTCAGTTTGGTGCTGAAGAAATTTTGATGTCAAAATTCATTTTCTACACTTTAGACTAACTTTTTTTTTAAAGCAAGAAAAAAGGATGCAAATAAGAACAATGAATGTTCTGTGGGTAGAAAGATGAACTGAAGCAATAACAACACTGCCATTGCTATTATAAATTAGCAATAATGAATGCTCAGCTTTGGAAGATGTTGAGTGTAGATGCTGCATTTGGACCTGGCAATCCATTTTCTCAATCCTAGAAAAATTGAATCTTTGCTTGTTACTCTCAAGAACATTCCTATTTTGATTATAACTTTGTTGGTATTCAGAATACATGAAAACTGTGCAAGTGAATGTGCTACAGAGAGTGTGCTACAGAGAATGTGCTACAGTTAGAATAGTGTCTAACACAATGTTTCTTAACCTGGCACCTTTCAGATGTGTGGACTTAACAGAATAAGAGAGTTGGAAGGGACCTTGGAGGTCTTCTAGTCCAATCCCACACTCAAGCAAGAGACTCTTGAAGATAAGGGGGGGGGAGTATTCAAACTTGCAACATTCAGTTACCATAAACTTAATATAAAGTAGCATTAGCATTCATAACTCTGGCATCCTTGTCTGATTACTTTGAAGAACTCATAGTAATACAGTATATGTCCATCAAAACTGAATTTAGTATAAACTTAATGGAGAAAAAGTAAACACGTGTAAACAAATTGATTGTCTGTTACATTGATACTATAGCATTTGTGAGGAAATTTTTGAATTTTGAATGCAGTATTTAGTAAGAGCTAGAGCAGTCTTGCCCCAGAAGACATATGTCTGTAGACCAGTGGTTCTCAACCTTCCTAATGCCACGGCCCTTTAATACAGTTCCTCATGTTGTGATGACCCCAACCACAAAATTATTTTTGTTGCTACTTCATAACTGTAATTTTGCTACTGTTATGAATCGTAATGTAAATATCTAATATGCAGGATATATTTTCATTGTTTACAAATTGAACATAATTAAAGCATAATGATTAATCACAAAAACAATATGTAATTATATATTGTGAAATATTTATTTCTAATTACAAATAAATGACATTTTGTCTTGAAGCATGGGTGCCGAATCACACCTTCAGCTGCTCCACTTATGGCTCTGAAGGGAGACCTGACCTTTTCTCTTCATTAAATGAGCCCTTGAAGTTTCCTGATTAGGTTAAACATGACCTGTGAAAAATTAATATGATTGTGCATGGGGGGAGTGCTTATGGGGTGGGAGAAAATAAGGATTAGTTGAGGTGATACTCAAGGGGAGCTATACTTGTAGACATTTGTTGTCCATGTGTGTGATGTGGCCCATTCAATTTGCCTCTTCAGCCTGAGCCACTGCCCATTTTTCTACCTCCAGCTGAAATTCACTGAGGGTATGGAAGAGGATCCCTGTCCTTCCAGAACAATTGATCCTAATGACCTTCAGAGCTTCTATCTCTGAAGAAGGCAGAAGGGAAACCTTGGCTCTTTTATGACTCGTGGACTTCAACTCCCAGAATTCCTGAGCCAGCATAGCTCAGTTCTGGAGCTGTGCCTGCCAGAATCTTAGGAGAGATATCTTGTCCACTGAGGCAGCAGCAGAAGGGAAATCCATTCCTTCCTCCCACCCCACTGCTGGTTCCACTGAACAATAATCAACTGCTTTTGGTGCAGCAGCCAGGGCAGGAAGAATGAGGGGCATTACTGCAGCAACTGCAAGAAAAGGCCCCTTGGAGCTTCTTGATTCCACACTAGGAGCAGATTCATTTTGACCCCCCCCCTTCCCGGATTTCCAGAGGCACACTAGGAAACAGAAAAGGCAGGCAGGAGAGGAAAGGGAAACACATGCTGCAGACCAAAACATCCACCCAAAGCAGCTTTCATCTCCAAAGCCCCCCCCCCTTTGATCTCTTCCCTTTTCACTGCCTGGACCAGTTTACCTTCTCCCACCTGTAATGAAATGGTGCTCCCTTCCCCTGCATCCCACAGGTAGGAACCATCAAGGGGGGGGGAGGGATTGAGCAGCAGGAATCAAAAAGTATGTGCTGTCTTATGGAGGGCTGCAGGGATCTCAGGGGAGGAGAGAACAAGGGGGGGGAATCAACTGCTGTGGGAAGAGAGGAAAAAGCTACTATACTTTTATGCCCGCCACATAAGTAGGAACAAAGTTCCCACATTTATCATTAGTGTGATCGATCACTGGGAATTTAGGGGATCTAATGCAAACTTCCAATTGTGTAAGGATGGGTTATCTGGGAGCTCAGTTAACTCCTGTGCAGCAACTGCCACCAACTTAATTCTCAGAGTTGTGATAAGAGTAATAAAAACAGCTACGCTCTTCATTAGGTTTTGTATTATCACGGGTGGACTGTTTTTGCGTGAGGATTATGTTTTGTTTTTTCTTAATGTAGGACACCTTTGACATCATAGGAAAGCAAGGGTATTATCTTTTAGCAATGGAGATGTCCCGAGCAGCTTTTTCTGGGAAGTGAACGGACATACCACCATCCCTTCCTCCCGCCCCCCCCCCTTCCACCCTGGAGCATGAGGAGACTGTCCTTCCTTTTATAAACCACCCGCCTCAACGTAAAGCTTGCCGGGCTTCTTGCAAACTCAGTCGTGTCTGCGTGCCTGCTCGCGAGATCTCGAAGCTTGGTTTTCTTCCTCCACAGCAGAAGAGTTGGGGAACTTTCCTAGCCGTCCAGCTATTCATCCGCCCACGGAGGAGCAGTGGCTTCGTAGGCCCACCCATCCCCACTTTGAGCTGAGCATCAGTTTTATAACCTGCCATCTGCCTCAAAGTACTTCTCCATCATGAGGAGGCGGAGGTAGCAGCCCACCGGGCGGATGCCTTCTGTTATGGTTCGGCTAATGAAACACTTCAAAGAACTTCCAGGCATTTATTTTCCTAAAAGTCTTTTATTGTTACAAAATGTCAGCACAGGCACAACAGAGGGATGCTAGGATCTAAGTTCTCTTCCTCTGAGCAGTTAAATTATCAGCATGTTCCCTCCCTAAATTAGCCGTCATATATCACATTATCCAATTAGTGTGAAGGTCATAGGTTTTCTTCCTCTTTCTTTCCCGGGCTTTACCCCCCACCCCCCTTCTGCTCTGTATTAACCCCATAAATACCAGACAGTTCTGCATATTGTCAAAAGCAAGAATATACCATATTTGCAGCATTGACACCTTCTTTTTCTTCCTCTCCATCCTCCCTGAAACTATGAGAGTAGGATGCTGCTGGCTGGGTCGCCCTGCAGGGGCAAGCAGGGCCATGTTGGACTGCAGCCTCGCTCTTTCTCTGAAAGACACTTTAGCCAGCTGAGGCTCCCGGCGGCAATGCAGCAGACAACCTCTACCCCGAAGCACGCCAGAGCCGGGCCAGCATCCATGAGCTTCAGAAACAGCGCCTGAACGTAGCTCCGCCCTCACTGGGCCAGATCCCTCCCTGCTCAGGCTTTCCTCTACCTCCTGCTTCCCTCGCCTGGAGATGGATAGAGGAGTGGTGTCTTGGTTCCTAAGACCATCGGAAATATGTGTTTTCTGATGGTCTTAGGCGACCACTGTGAAAGGGTCATTCGACCCCCAAAAAGGTCGCGACCCACAGGTTGAGAACCGCTGCTGTAGACCAACTACAGACCTAATCCCTGATTTTCTATTTACCATGATCATTATTGAGAATTATGAGATTTCAAGTCCATAGAATTGGAAGACTGTCCAAGTCTGACAAGACTAAACCAGGATATAACTACCTAATATAATTTTAAAATAACTCTTTTGTTCTCTGTGCACATTAATTATATCCATATGTGTAGATAAATAGAACATGTAAGGCTCAAAGGAGCCATTTTCATCATGGAAGTAGAGCAT